TATGCATAAATTAATAGTATCTATCTCACATTAGTGGTGTAAGGATAAATAGTGCAAACAAAGCACTTAGTATAGTATCTGGCTTGTAACAAGCGCTAATAAATGTTGCTTATTAAAACAGATTCTCTTCTGTCTACTGACTTATAAAATTGAACACACCATAATGTAAGCTAAATCCATTATTTATCTGATTAGACAATAGAAAAAAATGAGACTATGTAAAGAACAAATTTGACTTAAATGTAAATGCAATCGGAAAGCAAAGACAAAAGTATAACTGTTCTTACTTTATTAATATCGGAGAAAATTATTTTTCATTCAACATGAGAGAGAAATCTATTAGGAAAGCAACAATAACCCATGTTATCCAGGGGGAAACTTAGAATCTGTCATTGTTTTCCCTTTGGCAGCCTGATTATGCCTGGGTAATACTATATTCAAATGGGTTCATCTGTGCTGTTCTTGGAAAAACAAGCAGAGACAATTTAGCTTATGCCTATCAATACATCTTTTTTTAATTCAACAAAATAAAATAAACAATTTGCATCTTGGTTGATGTTGATGTTTACAAATGAGTAATGCAAATCTTGAAATCTGTAAAACATTATTTCCCTCTCATAAAAGCATTATGGGATGGTTTAGTTGTTGCTTTGACATTTTAAAAAACAGGTCAGATGCTTAAATGATGCTTTTTAAATTGCAGCTGCCAAGAGAATGCTTGCAACATAATATAACATGACATTTTTACTAACAATAACCAGGAGCGATTGTTGTGGTAGAACATAATAGTAACGACAATAAATTCATGTTTTTGCATAACAATAACTAATCAGCTGTCACCATTCCAATAAAATACTTATTTTATCAAATGCTTTCTAGAAAATTCTTTTCCTAAGTAGGAACAGATTAATCTTTTGTAAGCCTCCTTTCAAAGGGTCAAATCATTCTTTATTAAAAAAAAAAAAACTGATGTGTAAGAAAACAGGAAGAAAGAATCCTTTTCCTCAAAGTCTTATTTTCAAGCACCTATCAAGGCTAGGGCCTGAAGTCAAGTCAGTCTGATATGGAGGTAAATGTAATCCCTCATTCTGCAATACTTTCTCCGCAAACTAGGCACCTACGTTATCCAAATTCTTCTGACCTTAGCTGTATTACCTAGAAAACCGCACTTTCTTTAAGTTGGTATATTATGAGGAATAAATGACAGGATTATACACTCTCCTTGAAAAATGTAAGTTGGCATTTCTTCAAAGACAGATACACTCCCTTAAGTTTTAGCTTCTAGTTTTTGTTTTATTGCTCTGGATAAGGCTGCCTAAGTTTCTCTGGTTCCCTCAGCTTCCTCAGTTCTAAATCTTGGCTCTAGTGAATGATTTGAACATAACTTCATGGATCAAAATCCTTAACTGACATAAAGATTTACCTAACCATTAACACCACAGTGGCAATCTAACATGTCTAAATTCTTTCCCAACATGGCATCTGAAATTAGTGTAAAATTCTTACTATCAGATATACTTCTAGAAGTGAAAATAAAGGCATGCATATAGTGGAACAAGATGATCCCTATTAAAGTCTTGTTTAACTGGGATCAGGCAGAGTCCTGATGACTTATACATGAATGCTAATGACTTAGATATGAATGCTTCTTTTCTTTTATGCTCTGTTAGACCTGCAAAGACCAGCTCAGGATGCTTACCTGAAGAGGGTACTAAAGGAATGGGAAATTGTTCTAAAGAGCTAGAGCTAATGATGAAGACACAATTTCAGTGCCTTACAATTTTGTCTTTAGTCAGCCATAGTAGTAAATTAATCTGATGACCCTGTTTTGACACTGACTGATTAGATACACCAGCCAAAGGGCAGCAGGCCACTGTTGCTGACAATTGGGGTACCAGACATAGTCCACACTGGTGCCTATCTCAATACGGCAACCAAATTGAAAGCTTAAAGAATATTCTCCTCTAAATACATCCTGATTCATAAAATACATGTCTCTCCTCTTAAAACAGGTAAAACGTGTAAGTGCATTCTGCATGAAATGTTTATGGACCATGATCATTCTCATTCTACATATTCCATGTAAATATGAGACTGCACAGGGCATGCATAGCTATGTAACACCAGTCTCCATAACTTAGGCATGGATGTACATTCATCTATTTGTAGAGTATAAATACCGATATTTGAGTTACATATTCTGAACATAAGCATGGGTGCTCTTTTCTCTTTAAACTGATTCAGTACCAACAACAACAAAAAAATATGTAGGCTTGATCAATGCATCTAAATAAGTCTGCCCTTTAATAAAAAAAAAATGAAGTGAATAATTTGTTCCTTTCAAAAATAGTTACTTATTAAAGAAATACTTGAATGGTTAACCCGCTCTTCAAAAATAATTAGGGCTTCTCTTCACCAGGCAGGGAAGTCACTGACTAGCTTGGAAATTAAGACACCTGTGTCAAATTACTTCTGTAATAAAATTTTCAATCAAACCAAAATTACAATGAACATGTGTTTCTCTGGTTATAGGCTTGCATTCCCTAGCACTTACCTCCAAAATGTGATGCTATTTTGAGCAAAACAATTTCTAAATCATTTCTTAGACTAGATAACTTTTTATATGCTTTCTTCCCCCATCCCCCCTGAAAAACAACCAATTAAATATATTTTCAAAGTAGAAGAGACTTGGTGTGAGAGCTCACCAGATTTAATCTGTTGCTACATTTGTTACCAAACAAGCCATAATTATTGCTATTGTTGTTAGTGTTATTATATTAGATCATAGATATTTGAGCTGTAAGAAACTTCAAAAGATACTTCATAGTCTGCTAAACCAAGTGCATAATGCAGTTTAATTGAAATTACGGAAGATCTATATTCTGGAGAGACTTTACGTTTTTTCTTAGAAATCGCCCTCATGTAACACAGTGTTGGGCGTTGTGTCTGGTGGTCAATAAGTACTGAAGAATAGCAATAATAAGAGGAATAGCAACAGCAGTGCTAGACACTAAACACTTGAATTATTTTATGTCATCTGTCCCTCATATAACACTGTAAAGTTGGCACAGCATGTTGCACCCATAATGCAGATGAATGAAATGGTGGACAAGTTTAAATAACTGGCCAATTTCACAAAACCAGGGAATTATAGAACCAGAACTCAAACCAAGGTGTGTCTTGCCCAAAGTCCTTGCTTTAAAAAATGAATAAGTACATGACAAATTGATTTCAACCATACTCTGTTTTGATATTGAACACGGAAACGGCTGGGTAGAGGAAGTTTAATTTAGTCAGTGGCCAACTCTATAAAGTGGCTTATACCAAATACTCAAAGGACCCCAAAGTATCACAATGGCCTCAGAGAGTAACAAGAAATTCCGAGAAAATGAATCAGCAGGCAAAGCTACTATTATCAGATGGAAGAAAATTTAAGAGAAACACACAGGCATCAGGGCACCAGTATCTCCATCTGGTTAACAGTCCCCAGTAGAAGGCAGTATACCCAAGGCATTCATTTTTTAATAATTACATTAAAATTCTTTAAGTGGAACACTATGTTGAACATAAGCTCATCCTCCTCTAACAAAGATTCTTGGCATTCAGCAACAACTTAGAGCCATCACATTGCTCAATTACACTGTCTTGCAGATGGACACATGAGGCAGTTAAGACAGGGCTCCTGAAGAGAATGCTGGATAAGTCAGCTCTTATCAGGGAAGTTTTTCTTTCTCTCTCTTTTTCTTTCTTCCCTTTCTTCCTTCCTCCCTCTCTTTTCTTTCTCTCTCTCTCTTTCCCTCCCCTTCCCTCCCTCCTGATTTCTTTCTTTTTCAATCTCTTCATATGTTAAATCATAATTACAAACTATTTTTGGCAATTTATACATTTCAAAGCCAATATTTTTACAAAGATGGTATATTTCACAAAGTACCACATTGGCGCAATTGATACTGTCATTTGTATAATTAGTCACCATAATTAGTTGACTAAATAACTCTGAAAGGGAGCTATTATTGTTAATCCCATTTTGTACATGAGGAAATAAATTCAACGTGTTTAAGGGCTTGTAAATAACAAAAGTGGGGCAAGAACTGAAGTGTAAATACGTATTATTTAACAACAGGCTGTGACTTCATTATATCAATTGATTGGCGGACTAGCTTAATCCTATTTTTTATAATCCTGAGCAATCTATGGGTGTCCAGTCTTTGAGGAAGCTAGGTGGGCGGGTGTAGCAGCATGCCAAATGCATTTGTTCCTGGAAGACATTTTGGGGAGTTTTAAAAGTCATCAGACTTTCTCTGTCTTCCAATATTAGCACCTACTAAAGAGCAGTAAAACTTTTGGGTACCGAAATAATCCCCAGAGAAGAATTAAGCCTACTGCTAACTTATATATATATATATATAACACTAATATATATATATATTAGTGTTAAACTCTTTAATGTAAAGGACACAATTTAAAGATCATTGCAAGGGCAATTTGGCAATGTTCTTTAGACAAGGGGAAACTAGGAATATAAAAACTAAAAGGAAAGAAAGGAACAGAAGAAAGAAGCATTTAGAGGCTTACCTCATTCTCTTTTGATCAAACCCTGTCTCTCAAATCCTCCCTCCCCACCCTCATTACAGTTGAGCTATCACCTCCATATGGAGACTTCAGACTCCACTCCCTCATCTTCAACGTACAATGGAAGTCAAATGTCCCCTGCATTTATTAACTGACAAACATAGTAAGTCTCTAAGTAGCCATGGAGACTAAAGATCTCCTTGGCATTCTCGATGTATATATTTTACATTTCAGCTTCCCAAAAATATCTCGCATGATATGTGAACCACAAAATTACTGTGTCATTTGCAAACTGGTTATGCATTTTTTTTTTATTCCAACCAATGCTAATGTTCTTAAGATACCACATATGACTACCCTCTTAAGGCATTTGAATGTGAAATTATCATCCACAATACCATCATAAGAGAGGAATAAAGACAGATTACCTGGGGTTAAGAGGATGACTGACATAGTGATGAGTGAGCATACAACTAAAATTACCAGCAGGGCAATAGCAATCCCCTTCCAGTTTCTCTGTGGAGGGCTGTTACTTCCCAGTTCCTACCGAGATAGAAAAAAAAAGGTTCATAATTACACATGCTCCAAAAGAAATGTATTCATAAAGGATGATTCAATGCATGGCACAATCACAGTTTGAAAGCTGATTAGGATTGTTTTCCTCTTCGGTAGCTCACTTAATTATTCAAAGGAGCATATATTATAAATGGCTATCTTTTGGGGGGTAATCTTATGTCTCTAAGAGATAAACCAACAGAGCTTTATGCCTGCTATCCAAAATGTAGACGGCATTAAAATGCATTGACTATAAACACTAGGACAATAGCCAAAATACTCTGCAACATAATTATGGAAATAAAGTGCGCCCACTTACATTTTTTCTTACTACAATAGAACCTACAATAAAGATTTAGATACCAATATTTCCCAAGCACTGTGGACTACTTTTCTAACTGGATAGTGGGGAAAAAGATTTGAGATGGGAAAAGCATTCAAAATGCCCCAAGCTGCAGAGCAGGGCACATCTGTCAACACAACAGGTCCTTTTCAAACAGCTCCCCCACCACTCATAAAAATCAACAGGATTTAGTAACTAAATTAAATGAGTGCTTCTATATCAATGGTTGATAGCATCCTCTCCCTAGGCAGCATGCCTAATATTGGCAAGGAGATAAGATTGATGGGGGAGAAGAGATTTGAACATCTCTCACAATACATAAAGCTTTCCATTTTCAGATGATCTGTGTTCTACCCTGTTGACTAGAAATGTGTGAGCATAATTCACCAAAGCAAAGCAAACACCACACTGAATTAAAATGAATGCCAGATTTTCTTTGCAATGAAGTTTATAAAACACTGAATCTCTCATTTCTTTCTTCCCATCTCCCAGTTTCTTTTCCTCCCTCCCAACAAAGCCTTTTTTATTCAAAACTAGCTAAGTGATTTGAAGACAAATGAAACAAAACATATAGTTATCCAGCTCACTATGTGTGTACAAATCACTCAACAAGAGCAGTCCTGCTTTAAACAAAGATAAATAGAACAGCAAACATTTAATAAATTATAAATTGGTTCCTGTGACTCACAGATTAAAACCGTGAGCAAATTTTCATGTAGTGATGTTGGCATTCAATTCTGCCATAAACACTTTGGACATAAAGAACTAGACCCTAAATAAATGCAAGAAGAGAACGTGCATGGGAGGTATTTTGTTCTTGTTTTTCCCCTCTGCGATCAACTGCTTTGTCTTTCAGTCTGATGGACCAAATCCAGCAGAGGTCAATTCTACTCTTTTTAACATGACTGACTTCATATCTCTTTTCCACACTTATTAATGCTCGTTTTTCAACACCTCTATTTCTATTGCATTTTGGTTAGAATCTCCATAGTTGATGTGCACAAGTCCACTTTTACACAGATATTTACAGTTTATTACTATAAATGTATTTTCTTTTCCTTATGATTTTCTTAACATTCTTTTCTCAAGCTTACTTTATTGTAAGAATACAGTATATAATACACATAACAAAATATGTATCAATCAACTCTTTATTGTTACTGGTAAGGTTTCTGGTCAACAGTAGGCTATAAGTAGTTATGTTTTGGGGAATCAAAAATTATACATGGGCTTGTAACTATGCTGGGGTTGGTGCCCCTAACCCCCACATTGTTCAAGGGTCAAATGTATAAGCTAATAATAACGGACATCTCACTCCAATAAAAGAATCAAGAGTAAATTATAATTTTAAATCTACTGATTCTGATCTTGATTCCCGGTCACTTGATATGAAGCCTCACCTTAGCAGACTCTAAACCTAGGGCAAGTGATGGACCAGTAAGTGATAGAGACATAGGTTTATTGGGAAGACTTACAGGGAATCCAGGAATGGCCAACTGGACAAGTATCCACTGCTGGGATCTACATGCACCAAGTTTTTATACCACAGCAACTAACCTTAGCAACTATCTGTTGCCTCTCCTTCCCTGCATGGCCAGAGCCCTAGGGAGATCAAGGCCTGCCATGTGGACACTGTTACAAAGGAGATGCTCCAGGCTGGCCAGCCCCAGAGCCTCTGACCTTGAACACTGAACAACACATTCTTCTGTACATTCTGCTTGATGGGAATACAGAAGGAGGATAGGATCTCTATATTCTCAAACAGTGATTAACAGGGGCATTCAGGGTATGCTTTCACAAATTAGTTATCCAGCATGTACCATACACTTGGACACAAGGCAAATTATTAAAGAAATGACTTGAGTGTACTTTCCAGTTTTTGAATAGGATGTAGCCATGTAATATCTACCAAATGTTGTCTAACCGTAATAATACCGTAGATATCTTACTATGTGTTTGGTATTATACTGAATACTTTATAATCTCTCGTAATCCTCATTAAAGTCAGGTGAGATTACTTTTATTTTGATAGATTTGCAGATGACAAAAATGGGATTTAGAGAGATTAATTAAAAATCCACTTACTGTTAATAAGTGGGAGATCTCTGGGGCCAGTCCATAAACTCTGGCTCTTAACCACTTTAATATGGTGTCCTAAAGATAAATATGTCAAGGATAAATGCATGAATCGATAAATAAATCAGTGAATCAAAGAACGATTTGGACCCCAACATAATAATAGTTGTACTTTATTACCTTTTATTTGACAAAATTCATGATTAAAGAAAAGCTATCCTGAATTCTGTAATGTTTTCAAATAAATTTATATTTCCCCACCCATGGCGGACTGAGAAAATACACCATTTTTAAAATGGTAAAACACATTTGAGTAAAAAAAAATTTTCTGTTCATAAAGTGATGCACCTAAGAATGTGTGGCTCCTTTAAGATGACTCATCAATGCCCAAGGCATCTACAAATCTGTTTAGGAACTGCAGACTTAGATTCTATTACCATGGCAATATTCCTAAAGCATAGTTTCACTTCTGTCACTTTATTCCACAAAGTCCTTTAATGTTCCTATACTAACTAAAGAATCAAATGCAAATGAGATAATTTAGCATAACAATTGTCTATAGCCAAGCTCCAGTTTCCTCATCCAGCTTGATCCCTTTTGAAAAAGAACACAACCCCAAACCGCTCTGATTACCATTTGGCACACATGCCTCAAATGCTTCAACCTTCAAATCACCTTCTTTTCTAATTCTTCCCCATCCAATCCCTTTAAAATGCCTCCACTTATAGGAACTGTCAATCATTCAACATCCTGCTCTAATGGCTCTCCTCTTGGGAATTTCACCTAATTATGCAAGCCAAATATGATTTCCCTTCCTCTGAAAAAAAAAAAAATGCCTAAAATACATTGTACCAATAGGCTGAATCCACTTCAACTACTTAAGAGTTGTGAGATTGCAAAGATGTATTTTTCTGAGCCTCAGATTTTTTGTTTTATCTGAACAAATGGAATAATAATGTAATTATTTTTAAATGTAAGTATTAAAACTAATTATTCGGACAAAACTTTTAGGTACAATAAAGTTCACATTAAATGAACTGCTTGCAATGTTCTTCCTCAACACACTTAATATAGATCACTCTCTACATTCAAGTCTCATCTCAAATGCTCCTTCCTGACCACCCTCTCTGAAATAACATTTCATATCCCTTCTATTCTCTCACTCCCCTTTCTTTTTCTTCATAGCATTATCATTTTAGGTATATCACATGTCATATTTAATCATGTATCTATAATAACATATTAAGCTAGTTAAGAATATATATTAAGGTGTTTAAATGTTCATTCTATCCTTCTCAGCTCTCCAGAATAGAAACTTCATGGTGTCATTAATGTAGTTCATCTTGTTCTCTGCTACAACCCTAGCATTGTGAATGGTGTTTGGCACATACTAGGTATGCCGTAGATAATTTTAAAATGAATGAATGAATTATAGTGTTAGGAGTTAGTTGGACAGTAATCAAGGCCAGGGTCCCCAACAAGAAAATATGGAGTCAGGACAGCTAAAATAAACTGCACCCACATCCTGTTTTGGAGCTTAGACAGGACCACACTAGTACTCTGCTCTGCAGCCTTTACAGAAATGACTTCTGCAAAACGTCTAAACTAAGAGAATTAACTATAAAAACATTTGTCAATATCATGAGCAAGGGGTAGTTAAGACCTAAGCCCCCAGATGTCAGAAAAAAAGGACCATCAGCACATGGACATTAACCTAATAGGTAGACAGATATGTGACCAAAGCCCTGATTGGCAAGACTCAGCATACCCTGATTGCTTAAGATAGTTTTCCAAAAGAGCTCATAAAAACCCCTACACTTTGAAACTCCAGAGGCAACCCACTTGGGCCCCCCTCCCTCTCCGGGAGCTTTGTGCTCTTGCTCAATAAACTTTGATTTGATGCCCACCACTCTTCCTCTTGTCTACCACTTCATTCTTCGAAGCGGCGTGACCAAGAACCGCGGGCACTAAGGGGACACAAAATCCTGTAACAATAGCAGCTATGATAAAGATGATGATGATGGTAGTAATGGTGGTGGTTCTGATGATAATGCTTAAAGCCATATATAAAAAGCCATCATATCCCTGTCAAAGTTATTATCTGTTTAAAGTAAGAATGACATCTTAGACAACTTTAGATTACTCAGACCACTTAACAATCTCTGGTTCTTTTAATACGTGCTTAGAAAATAATTGCCCAGTTAATTAAGTAGTATAAATGGAAACCCAAAAGGGGACAGAAATATAGTACCATTAGTCAAATACACATTAATAGCAAACTTATAAAATGTACCTACTTGCTAAAGATCAATTTGACTGCAATTAATTTTAGGCTCATTTATCTGATGCTAGCTTTCCAAAATGCAGTTGCCAATCTTCAAGTTAACATCCTCTTCAAAAAACGTGATAATTTATACTGCTGTGGGAAGTGGTTCTAATTGACTTTGCTTTTCAATGACTTCCTACAAGCCACTACCTGAAACCAATCAAGTGCACATGCCAGGCTCACGGAACAGGTATGGTGCTGTGCAGCAACCTGAGAAAACATGCTAAGGAGTTTGCAAT